ATGAACAATGACCCGACAAAGACAAGACAGAAACACCAGGTATATATACACACACACACAGGGACTAACGAGCAGGGCGGGAGCAACACAGGTGAAAGACATGAGGCTAATGAGACACAGGCAGGGAGAGAGAGAGCGAGTGTAGGGGAAAACAGAGACAGAAATGCAGAGTGTGACAGTTTGTTTACTATTTTATAATATTTTTATTGTTTACTTTGCTAGTCTGGCATGGACTCAATCTAGCATACCCTTAAGTCCATGGATGTTCCAAATAAACCCACTACATGAGTTGTCGATAAATAAATATGTATTTATATATAAAACATCTTAACAATACAAAGTTATGTTCAAATCTGTAATGTCTTAGCTCTCAATAATTTTTGGAATGTAGCCAAAAACTACTTATGGCAAATGCTGATCTGTGCTTTATGGGTCACGAGAATCGGCTCAGGCAGAAAAGCATTCCCTGGGCATTGGGCACAGAATGTCTTGCATGGTATGAAGTACCTGGGCAAGTCTTCTATTCTCAGACCAACACAAACATCATGAGGCAAAACAGCTTGGAGTTTTTTACTCATTCATTCATTGAATGTAGGCCTAGTAATTGACTGGAAATATAAGTTGAAACAAAAAACTAATTCCTGAAATTTCAGTGCTGCGATACAGTTTTTCTAACTTGTTTCCACAGTAACACTGGTACTTGAGACACAATAATCAAAACCTGTAATTTATGTATCAACACTTTTAAGCAATTCTGCAAAAATACAAGCATTATGTGCTTTACACTCAGATTGCAGTTCTAAACCACATTTATTTCAAAACACTTACATACAGTTTTCCACGCACATAAACATAAACTATGTAAACGTAAAATTTATGTAAATATTCTGCTAAGATTTTCTATATATTTCAGGAAATGCAGGATATTTACCATCCCTCTGATTTGAATGTGCTTTTAACTGTTTTGGACACAGTGTGTTAGCATTTGAAAAAAGTGCTGCAGATATATAGTGTTTTGCAGGTGGTAAAGTAGTAATAAAAAAAGAGTTCATGGATTTTGGAGAAAGTGGTGATTGAATGCATTTTATGTGAAAGTAATGAAAATGATTCACAGTTTTGTCCACATATACTTCTGTTTTGCTGAATGTGTGTAGAGTGTTGACAGTGTGACTTCAGGTTTGACCAATGCATGATAGCAATTGACTAAAACTGTAATCAAAGAACACATTGCATTCATGATTGGAAAGCAACAAAGGAATTGTACTGTTCTTTCTGCAATCTTAAGAATAAACTACCTTGTATTATGTAACGTAGAGAGTTTTGAGGTGGCTGAAGTTGGTGGAAGGAGGGCTTGAGGGCTTGTGTGTCATGTTTGAGGGCAAAAATTTGTTTGTCAGCCAGATTGAATGGTTTTGAGTAGAGAGCTTCATGAAGATCACGCCAGGATGTCTGGGGAATTGGGTGATAAGTTATGCATTTGTGTTTAGAGTTTACTCAACACCATCTTACTGTCCATAGATGCCTAAAATCAGTGTTGGGAAGCAGAATTTTTGCATCAACTTACCCTCCAGCAATTTTTGATATGAGGTACGCTTGTGGAGACTCTGATTTCTGGAGTGACTGGAGACATCCTGTGGTCTGGGGATCCAACAGCAGTACAGGTAAAATTGCAAAATGTCTGCTGTGAAAAAGGTCATATACAGTAACTTACAGTAGGAACAATGAAGTAATTACTGACTTCTACTGGCAACCAATAGAGACTGCAACAATTTATCTACTAAACAATATGTGGGCATTTTTTTCAACATTGTAGGTATAGGGGTCAACAGGCATGTTGTTGTCTAAAAAATATGGTGCTGAATGGCAGTGTGACGCTACTTCAGCTAGAATGCTTTCATGTGACTAGAATTTGACTAGGTACTGTATGTCTTATGACCGAATGAAACATTTAAAATGCAACTATCTCTCTCTCCCCCTGACAGACACCATTCAAATAAAAGGTTCAGTGTCTATGTGGACCCTGGTGCTGTGTGTGGGTTGGCTCATATGTAGGGTTACAGTTTAGCTACAGAGTATTACCAATGTGTAGTTAAAGTAAGTGTAAGATTTCATAATTGATAGTATTGTTAGTATCAACAATATTTACATAATAAAACTTATATAACTCACGGCAACCTTGGCAATTAATGAGCTTGCTCACCCACATAGCAATTGTATTGATTTTTAAACTGATTTCTTGTCTTACAACTTGGCTGCAGCTGTGATTGGATGCAGCATTAGTATCTGAAGCATCATACATCGGATGCATCAGAAGATATTTAGCTCCATGAGGCTTTATGCATTATTAATATTTGCATATAGTTTGAGCATTAATTACTTTCTTTTTTTAAAGTATTATATATTTCTGAATAATTTTGATTTCAAAAATGTTATTTGCCTGTGCAGTTTTTCACAACTGAAAAAATGCCTCAGCCTTTTCTGTGTAAAGAAACAGAAAAGCGAGCAATATGACCACAGTAATTTCCACAAAAAAAAACCCTGTCCAATTAACTGGAAATGAGCAGAGGTGTCAGAGATTAAATGTTAAGTTAAAAGTTAGTCACATATGTGGGGGTTGAGTGCTTGTTCTTGATGACATTGTTCATCATTTATACTGGTAGTAGAATGTCACTGACACATTTGTTTATGTTGTGGGACATATTAGAAACAAAATTTCACAATGCAGTTAAACTTTTTATGTAACACTGAGGAAGATCAGATAGTTGACATAACGGACTGATCTCAGCATTGTGTGTATGATTTTGCTCATTAAGCTCATGAGTTGTGAGCATGTCATCTGAGGTATATAAAAGCTTTATTGAGTGGGCTCTGTTCTATTATTCACTAATTTCATGTAGGCTACACCCAAAATATACTAATAAATAAGTTAGTAGTCTGTGTGTTGTGCACGTTTCAGAAACATGTATGTATGACCAATCTTTATTTTTTTTTAAACAGTTTCCTCTGACAGGAAGTAAAACCCACAAGACTTTTAGCACATACAGAAAGTTACACACATATTGGATGTCACATGATTCTGTCATGCACAAAGTAAGTTTTAGCTCTTAATTCTTATTAAAAGTCTGGACATGACACTATAAAGATATTCTGTCCATGTCAAAACATTTTTGTGCATGTTTTTCATAAACACTCTTCTCTCCGAATATTCAAAATTTTTCTAAAATGCTAGGGAGACTAGTGATGTCTATATTGTGACGTAATGGTGTCAAGAAAAAGTGAAACAATCGGATATCTTGGAGTTTGAAGTTAGCACTATTACATTTACATCTCATCAGAAACTCAAACCTTACAGATGACAAACATAGAAATCTAAAAAGAATGATGTGGTTGTGACTTTCACTCCACTTTCTCTTTCATTTGTTAAAAAGCTAAAGGTAGTTAATGGCTTAAATAGGAAAGAACTGTGTATGTGCTTTTTGACAGCTGACAAAAAGCTCAACAACAAGTAACTCAAAACGCGCTGTAACAAAATATTCTGACATTTAATGCTGTTCAAGCTAAGTTTGCCAAAAGAAATTAAATTTTATTTATATAGTGCCAAATCATAACAGAAGTTCACTCAGGGCACTTTTCATAGAGCAGGATCTCAAAAAAGTGTGAAAAGTGCAGGTGCAACGTTTGTTTTCTCTTATAACTATCTTTGGAGAAAAGTATACAATTCATGCTGTGATATGCTTGCTTGCCTTTTTTGGCACATACTATTACTATGTAAACTATCAACAAATGCATAGGTTTATAACACAAACTGAGGTTGAACTGGCTCATATTGATAGCAGTATTTATATTTTGGTGGGCCATTGTGTAAAGATTGATTGAAAGAATATATTATTTTTACCATAAAAGGCCAGTGTAAACATGAACTCAATCAGATTAAAAATGCAACAACATATATTTTTTTCCCTTGGTCTGAACCAGATAAACCAAACGACAGGTGTGAAAGCAGCTTACTGCCTGTCTGTTGTATTACTGCTTCACTCACGGTTTTTCATAACAATGAAAGTATGAATTAAGAGTTATAATTGAAAACACACCAATCAGAACCTTCAATAGATAGATAAAAGGGCCAGAGTCAGTTCATTCCGTTTGGGAGCGATGGATCCAGAGAGATGTGAAGGAAGAGGTAGTGGACATCAGAGAGGAGGAGGAGAAAGAGCAGCAGGGAGAGGAGAAAGAGGTGAAGGAACAGTAGGAGTTGGAGGAGGAGTAGGGAGAGGAGGAGGTATAGGAGGAGTAGGAGATGCAGGAAGAGTTGGGGGACGAGAATCTCTGGCCCGTCCCAGACCAAAGACAGGATGCTGAGGCAGTATAATTTGTTGTTTGGTGTGTTGTGCATAATTTCAAGAAATGTGTGTAAGCAATCTAGAAAAACTGTAATTTTCTATGGAGAGCAGGAGTTCCGCCACAAAACACAGATTAACTGTAATCATCTGTAAAACTAGGCAGTGCTGATCAAATAAGAATCGAGATTTTGTCAAGGCAGGACATATTTCTAAACATATTTCTAAGACTAAAATGTTTTCATAAACATAATATAGTGTACTGTTCAGCTCTGATATAAGGACTTTTCTGACCTGGCCGCCATGTTGAAAACGGACGATACCAAACCAAACTCACAGTTTGTCATCCACCAGCCGGACCTTTCATCGGTCCAGTGCATCCTGGTGCTACCTCATTGAATTCTGTGTGTCGAGCAGGAGTGGGAGAGAGAGAGAGAGAGGTCATAACACTTTTAGCAAAGAGCCACTGAAGACCAAATAAATACTGTGTGTGGTTTCGCTTATATTCAGTTTACTTTTTTTTTTTGATTAACATTTTAAATGTTTTACAAATTGTCTGTGTTATTTAACATGACAGCCATATAGCATAAGGCAGGCATGTCATCTTGATCTACAGGCTAATATCTCCACAGTTTCCGCAGGAAGGAAACAAAAGCCACGACCAGAAGCATACACATGAAATGAAATTTCGACACTCAGATGTAGAAGTAGACTTGCGCCCATGCTGAACGAGTTCTTTTTCTGTCTGCCACGATGGCGACGAGACTGCTTCTGCTTCTCTTTCTAACAGGACCTGTGATTGCCAAAGAACCACCGGGTGAGAACATTTAAACAATTTTTAAATTATAGGTGAATTTTGATTTTAACAATTACTGTTTTAGCCTATTTAAATATGTCTGAACAGTTAGTTTGCTTATGTGCTCTGGCAGATCTTATTATAGTGTTTTACATTTGGTAATCATGATGTGAAGCTGCTTCACTTTTTTATTCAATTTTATATCTAGTCTTAGTTACTAAGCTATAGTGAACACAAATCTTAATATGTACATAATGTACTGTATGAGAGATTTTAACCATAACTTTCATGAAATCAATACTATAAAGGGGGTAACCACAACGGCCTTGACATAAGATTAGACCATGATGTTGTAAATCAGCTCTTAATTATCAAATTTAATTAAAATCAGTTTAAGATAAAGCCTTACTTCCTCAGTTATTCGCATTTTGTCTAAATTCCCCTTGACGTCATGCGCTGCCATTTCCTCATTGTAAGTGTATGTTTGAGAGACAGACAGGGCTGTTAGTAGTCTATTGTCATTTGTGTAGGTCTACCTACTCTATGTGTAACCCTAATGATTTTTGCTTTATTTTCTTCATGAAACTATTCTGTTGGTCTCAACCCGCTTGTGTCTGACAGATGTGGACTGTTTGGTGGTGAATCTGCAATATGTTCACTGTTCCTGGCATAAGCAGGGAACTCCAGAGGTCAATTACACCTTCTACAGCCGGTTTGTAAAGTTTGATGACAGTTACCCTAACAAATAGAAAAAGCTGGCACTGAAATTGTTTGCAATCACTTTCCATACACAATTATGGTCTGCAATTGTCAGTGTGGTATTGGTCAGTGTTGTAGTTTGTTTCCATGTAAGCAAATGTCTTATTATTTCATCCCTGTTTAGATATTATAAAAACTAGACTGGCTGCATACTTGGCTTTGTGTGTGACTAAATTGTGATTTCTCCACAGTTTCAGTAATGTCAATGAAGTCAGTGAGTGCGAGACCTATGTGTTGGAGAACAGCACAAACATTGGATGTAACCAGCCATATGGCGACCGGCTCAACAGATTCTACAGATTTTACTCCGAATTGGTACATGGCGAAAAGAGATCTCTACAAGAGCATGAACTAAAAACAAAAGGTATTTACTGGGGTTCAATATAGCATTGGGAGGTACTATTCAAAACAGTAAACCAATTAATGAGTTAAAGACTCCCATTAAAAGAAGATTTGATGGGAGAGGTTTACCTACTTGCAGCACAATTTGAACTTAAATCTATAATCTTTCTCCAGGAAAACAATGCTAGTTTTTTGATATTTAAAAACAGGCAATAAAAATATATTTTCATGCTTGCACTATTACCTTGTTGTCACATTGTATATTCTCTATCACTGAATGGTCTGTGTCGTCTCCAGTCAAGTTGAATCCACCAACCAACCTGACTATCAAGAATGAATCCGACTCTAACCTGTGGGTCTATTGGAACCAGACGGCTACAAATTGTGTTGAGAGTGAGATTCGCATCAGGACTAACAACAAGAAGTGGGAGGTACGCTATAAATCTCATCCTTCCTTTGTATTATATTTTTTGTTTTCCTTTCGCCGCCCATCTCCCTACTCAACACAATCTTATTATCCCCAGATGTCTAAAATCACTGTTGCGAAGCAGAATTATTGCATCAACTTACCCTCCAGCAGTTCTCGATATGAGCTGCAAGTGCGGAGCAAAGTGGGGTACAATTGTGGAGACTCTGATTTCTGGAGTGACTGGAGTCATCCTGTGGTCTGGGGATCCAACAACAGCACAGGTAAAATTGCAAAATGTCTGCTGTGAAAAAGGTCATATACAGTAACTTACAGTAGGAACAATGAAGTAATTACTGACTTCTAATGGCAACCAATACAGACTGCAACAATTTATCTACTAAACAATATGTGGGCAATCTTTTTAAAACACCATACAGCTATAGGGGCAACAGGCATGGCAGTGCAACACATTGTCAGCTAGAATGCTTTCATGTGACTAGAATTTGACTACATGTGTGTCATGACTGAATGAAACATTTTCAATGCACCTCTCTCTCCCCCTCCCCCCAACAGACATCAATAAGATGAATGGTTCAATGTCTGTGTGGACCCTAGTGCTGTGTGTGGTGGGTGCTATCACCCTCATCCTCATGGTCATGACACTGCTGCACCACGAAAGGTGGGTTGGCTCATATGTCATATGTAAATGGTGGTAGTTGTATAGCCAAAGAGTATCACCAATGTGTATTTACTTCCTCGGTTTTCATAAATGATAGTATTGCTAGTATCAATAGTATGTACATAATCAAACTGCTATTAGTGTAATGTCCGTGCAATATATCTGAAAAAACATTAGGACATTGGATTCTATCAACAATCCCTATATGATGAAAGCAGAATGGGGGATATTGTCTTATTCTGAGAAGCCATTTTCATAATTGTAGTTTCAATATCTGACTGTATCTTACTAAGAGAGCTCCAAATGCTCAAATAAGTCATCAGATTCCTCCTTACTAGCCTTGCTGTCTGTTCTTTATAGTTCTGTATAATGCTGTTTGAATGAATGACATTCACTTGACATTCACACTTCATCACAGTGAAGTCTTAAATTTTCCGGTCTATTTTCTATTTTCTTTAGTCTATTAGCTAGTATCTTATCTGCCTTGTCACCCGCCTCAAAATGAAGCCTTGGTGTTTTAATAAAAGCATAAGCCGTCTCCTCATGTAACACCCTCTGCAAGTCCGCTCTTGTACCAAGAAGAGATTTCCTAAAATATAAGTTGGATGAGTCAGGCATATGATGTTCCTCCAATCTCCTGCATTTGTCACATAATTGTAGCTTTTTCTCTGCTCGCTTGCATTTCACATCTGCAGAGTAGAGTAATCCAGCCTCAACAGGTAGCCTTGGAGGCATTGCACACAGTAGAAACTGAGATAACACACAATTCAAATGTATATCATTTCATATTTCATTCTTTCTTATGAGGGAGACAAAGTCTTTACTCTTGAGGGGAGAAGTATTACGTCGCTGTTGTTTGGACAGCTGCGTGGTCACTTACAAGAAAGGGCGGTTTGAATAGAAAATATATTCTTGACTGTCTGGGTTGACTATACACCACACATCTGTAACTGATAACTGTACCTGAAACTCGTGTGTAGCAGCAGAAATATGACTATCAGATAGAAGAGGGCCCTTAGATAAACCTAATGCTGAGTTTGACACAAAATTAAAATCACCTCCAACAATAAGGGTCACATGATAGGAATACTGGGTAGAGTGTATTTATTTTTTTGAAAGATATTTTTGGGCCTTTCTGCCTTTATTTTGACAGGACATTGGATAGTTAGAGGAAAGAGTGAGAGAGATAGGGGGTGACATGCAGCAAAGGGCCACAGGCTGGATTCGAACCCAGGCCGCTGCAGACACATACGCCTCTAGTACCCTGGTTACCTGTGGAGGAGACCTGGCCCGACCATTGTTGTTTTTTTGACCATTCAGAATTTAAGTGGGTCTCCTGTAACATCACCTGACATGTAAGAGGCAATATTTTGTATTCAAGGAACAGTCTTTTTACCAGTCCATAAAAGTAGAATTTTGAGATATTATATCACCACAAGATGCCTTGTGGGGGCATGCAGAGAACTGAAACTGAATAAATCACTTCCATATCTCTCAACTGCCGTGCTGAAGAGTTACAGGGAACAAGAATAATGTAGATGAGCTGTTGATATGATCATCTGAGAGTGAAAACATGTCTTCTTCCTATACAGGCTCAGAATCATCCTCATCCCCATGGTTCCCAAACCGTCCCTGATCCCTCATGACATTGAGGTAAGTAGCATCCAGAGCTCTGTGCCATCTCCGTGAAATCCTCAGTCACACAAAAGATTTTTATTCAAACCTAATCTTTTTTATTTGGTAGCAAATACAGTTTTGGACAAAAACTATTGTCATCAAAAGAATTAAATGACAAGACTAAGAATAAACAGCCATGCTAGCAGCTTTGTGACTGTACTCAACACTGTTGACGTACCCCATTGGGTGCAATAGTGAGTGACAGGAATGTCATGTGACTGCAAAACAAGTCAAACCTTTTTTTCTTTTTTGAAGGATTGGTTTCAACTCTCCAAAGGCCTGAAAGAGAGTTTTAAGGCCAACTACAATGAGCGTGCCTGTCCTGTTCGAGAGTACTGCCATGTCTCCCAGTCCGACAGCGAGAGCTCTGGCAGCTCCACCTTCTCTTTCACCACTGACCAAACCGACTGCTCCATCTTCATCCCTGTAGACGAATCAGACCTCTGCTCCTCTTCCACCTCAGCAGCTCTCGTCTCATCTGAGGAGGCGGAGCAGGTTTCTGTTTAGGAGTCGTCTCAGTCAGGGCTAGCCTACCAAAAACACATATTCTGCATGACTGCAGGGATTAGAAAATGGAAAAATTATGCTATTCTGAAGCTGTTATTGTTTTAGGACAATTTAAAATCTATCTCATCTAAAATATATATTAAAGACTTGTCAACCATTTGAGTCACTCATAGCCACTGTACCCCAAAGTTTTCAATTCGTTCAATTCAGCTGCACTGAGCTCTACATTTTTTGCTGACTTACTAATAAGAAATTGACTTGTGAGTTCATTTTTGCTTCTGCCAGGCAATTGTTCATTATCTGTAACTTTGTATTGATATATGTGTCCATTTTTCACAACCTATTTAAGACAGTTTGTAATGAAACACACCCACATGCATAAATCACAAAATGTCGATCCAAATAGACAAGTTAATAGGCATATGTTATCTATACTACTTGTATAAGTTATTGGCTTTATTAGTGGTTAAAAATTATTTACTAATAGTTAGAAAATAATTGATGGGTTAAAAAAATAGCTTACTAAGGCTTTGTCTGCAACTTTATGGTTGCCAAGTCTGAAAACTCCCTATGGATATTCCAACATGATGCTTGTTTTGTCTTTTATACTATTTGGAAAAGGTTTTAACAACATCAGTATTTATGTGGACGGGATGACTGATTAGAGAGTAACAAAAGGAAAGGGTGGTGATGGCGCGGTGGATAAGACATGTCTTTAGTGTGAGAGACCTGGGTTCAATTCCCACCAATTTGTCCCTGTGCAAGACACTTAACCCCTAGTTGCTGGTTGAGAAACCGATTAGTGTCTACTAATTAATGATTAAATGTAATGTAATTATTACCAAATAGAAAAGGATAAACATCAGTTAAAGGGAGTTTTCACAACCTGTTCTTAAGGTCATCCAATTGATTTATAAAGCATTAGTCAATAATTAAGCCACTTGTTACTTATCACAAACCCTGTAATAAAAAGTGCCTCATTAGAATGTGACACCACAACAATATCCAGATGACACAGTCTTTTTACATTTTAATGTATTTCAATGCACTTTTTAAACATTTGGTTTGACGTTTTTGCTTTTTGTAACCTACTTGTATTTTAGTGTTTGTGTCCTACATCTAGCGTATAACGTTACCATAGATTGTATTAACCAACGGCTGTGTAGTAATCCTTGCTGTATTTTTCTGTTTTTGATCAATAAATATATAATAATATAATATGTTACATCAAATGTCTAACTGTAAACATTGTCCAATCTGCCCCAGCCAGGTATCTCCTTGTCCATTAGAGGGAGTGCAGATGCATCCCTGGTGCAGTGTCCCACACAGTACGGAACTGAGTCAACGCATTTTTCAGATTCAAGAAGGGTAGGGCGCAGGGCGGCTGGCCCCCGCAAGAAGAGATACAAGTTAGCTACTTCCCTAGCTGAACCGATCAGCTATCGCAATCAATTGATGTCTTCAGATGAGATTTAAGGATTTACTGTGCATTTAGTTGGTTTGACGCTAATTCGCCGTTGGTCGTCCACACATTACAACCCGACAAAATGTCAGATCCTTCGGTGGCCGACACTCGCCGGTTGAATTCCAAGCCGCAGGACCTGACGGATGCTTACGGCCCCCCCAGCAATTTTCTGGAAATAGACGTTTACGATCCACAAATCGTTGGAGTTGGACGGAACCGTTACACAACTTACGAAGTTCGCATGCGGGTAGGTGCACAAACCAAAAACCGAAACACATTGTTGCGGAATTAGCTTAAATTCGCTAAGCTAGCTCGTAATTATAATGTTGTTGCTAGCTAGTTAGCACGTTTAGCCCAGGGAGTGAGGGGCTGTGACGTTGGCGTTAGGCGGCTGGAGTAGCTCAACATGGCCCTCCAGTAAAAATCGAGAACCGGGGAGTGTCAGAGGCCTGGCTTGTGGTATTTGCCAGATGTTGTTTCACGTAGTCATCAAGGCTGATACGTAGAAGTTTCGTGGACATTTCAACGACTTCCAACGTACACGGTGAAAGGTGATTTATAGTTTTGAGGCATGTCGCCAGTGTCGAGTTAACGTTAACATTGTTAGTTAAGTGCCTTTTAAAGCAACCACTATGTGGCTAGTTAGCTTTAAATCCAGTGAAACGGGATGAAACAACGATAGCAGGAAAAGAGGGAGTCCCATGAGACACCGTGAAACAAACTTGCCCCTAGACATTCGCTGTCAAGAAACTTAGGGCCGTTTTAAAATTGTTTCCCTGTCTATACGTGTAACGTTGTCGACAACGTTAACTAAACATTAAACAGAACATACCACTGTAGATAAATGAGTTAACATGCTAACGATTAACAATATCTGGTTTTGTGGAACCAGGAGAAATGGTATGCAGTAAAGTTGGTCTCTTAAATTACGTTTGTATCGGGTGTATTATTATACTTAACAAATAATAAGAATATGAATGATAACTAGTGGTTGTAGGAGGTGTATTAAGTTTAACTTCCTCTTTAGGAAGTTAACGTTTGTAAGCGTGAGGTACAGAAAATAACTGACACAGCTTTACTTGAAGACAATATTTTCAGGAACCTCATGCTGACACTGTAATTGCAATTTAGTAGGCTTGAGTTGACTAAAGATCCTTATTTATGAGGTGTCTGTGGCTATCTCCCAGGAGAGTTGGCACATCCCAATATGAAAAGGTTACTGTTTTCACCACTTGAATGGGGGTTTTTTTTCAACACACCACTGACTAGTTTAAGGCATTTTTTGTTAACTTGAGTATCCACTGCTGTCTCACAGTTAGGCAAACCTAAACAAACCAGGTCAGTCCAGTAAACAGTCATCACCTTTCACTGGAAAAGCATTGTCTCATTCTCCCACTCCCACTCAATGTCTGCAGCAGTGAATCATGTGAAAGTTATGCAAAAGGATCAACCATTCTGCAACCAATGAGAGATGCTTAAATGCAAACTTTTCAGTGTAGTGTGAATGAGGTTTGCTTGGCAGGCATCTTTAATTGTATTTCTAATAATCGCATGAAACAATATTAGGTTAAAAATCCCTTTCACACAAAAGCTTTTTATGCACAGACCATTCATTTAATTTAAGATCACCTTAAATTATGTATGGCCATATATAACTGGTGTTTAAACCATGAATCCATATGCTCCAATGTCAGGATTTGTTTTTAAATGATTGTAAATTGAATGTATTTGGGTTTCAGAGGACGTAACAACCAATTTGAAGATATTTGAAGATAAGACATTGCGCTCTGGGAATTCATTCTCACCTCAAACTAGCATGCTAATGTAATTGTTGACTTTCATGCCAGCAGTTTAGTCAAATTATGGTGCTAAGAGAGATTTGTTTTTGTCACAATATAGCAACTTTTGTCTCTTCAAGTACTTCCACAGTACCTTCAGAGCTCAGTCATGATAGTTACCAGTTGATCAGCAAGCCTTGTTCTCACTTTACAATGCGTGCAAATGAGAAGTCAAGTGCTGTTTTGTTTTTTCTCCTTTTCCTGTGCAGACAAACCTTCCCATTTTCAAACTGAAGGATTCCTGTGTGAGAAGAAGATACAGTGACTTTGAGTGGTTAAAGAATGAGCTGGAAAGAGACAGTAAGGTGAGTGAGCAATAATGGTATGTTTGTGGCTAGTCTTTTTTGGGCAGCCTGCCTGGCGTAAACCGTTATTTACAATGATCTGATAAGTGACCATGTTAGTCTTACAGTGAGGATACTACATATATAGTATTTTATCACATAAAGGATGCAGTAGGATTGCACTGTAAGTTTTGTCTTCTGTGTTGATATAGCAAGTGTATGTTTTGTGGCATCCTCATTAACTGTGTTGAATAAGTTTATAGTTTATATGCCTCTGCAATGTCATTCTAAATAAGTTTATTTCTTGGCTGGATCTCACATATATGAATGGAAATGTCTGCAGTTTTTGACAGCACAGCGAGTGTGGACTTTGGATTTCATATTTTGCTGCCCTGTTTCTCATCTTTCCTGTTATTTGTGTTGATGTCCGACACCTTCAGATTGTAGTACCATCTCTGCCGGGCAAAGCCCTGAAGAGACAGTTGCCATTCCGTGGAGATGAGGGCCTTTTTGAGGAGTCCTTCATTGAGGAGCGGCGATCAGGACTGGAGCAGTTCATCAACAAGTCAGTCAGTTCAGCAGCCTTAAATTTAAATAGAAATGTTGTGCTTTTAAGAGTAAATCAAGCAAACATATTTGTCACATAAAAATGTGGAAAATATAACGTTGGAATGATAATGGCTTGCTGATTAAAGGGCTACAAGACTTCCAGACATTGCCAAAATGTCTAGCCGTACACAAGGCTTAACCTAATCTGGGACTGTGCGTCAGCTAACTAATCCGCAGTTGTATTTTCCCGGCCTCCATGAAAATCCGTTAAAATGAGTCAATTTTGTCTATTGTCCGTTTGTGTGTGTTTCTGTAGAATTGCAGGTCATCCCTTGGCCCAGAATGAGCGCTGTCTTCACATGTTTCTGCAAGAGGAAAGCATTGACCGTAACTACATTCCTGGAAAAGTACGACACTAAGGGTTACTGAGGGATGTGTGCGGGTGGGAGTTAAACTCTGGGGTGTAGATCTGACTGTCTATTCCCTCCCGTCTTCTCTCAGTCTCTCTTTCTGCTTTATCTCTCTTTCTCGCCATCTCTGTATACCATTATAAAGTCATGTTCACTTTATCTTGGGATACAGTATGTTCTACTATACATAAGGATATGTTAATAATGTTAAACTCTGTGACTCCTCTCCCCTGTGCATTTGTTTTATAACTGTACAATAAGGAAAGCACCCCTCAGTAGTTGTGATTGTATCGTGAATATTTGGCTCTTAATCACAATTAAATTTTCAGGAATGAGAATAATGTGAGATGCATTCAGTCTGTCCCCAATGAGTGTCATATATTCATGATTGTAATATAATGTGAATAAAGTAGTATTACGTCTAAATATGAGTGTTGGCACTAATGTGTATCAAAGGGATGCAGACTGTAAAATGAGAGTTCTGACCCTGTTCTGTTCTCTTTTTCTTTTTGTTTGTTTTGTTTTTTTTAGGTATGAATGAAGTAAGTTTGCTTTATTTTATCCTGTCTCTAAAAGCTTTCTGGAGGTTATAGGAGGTTGCATGGCCAAGACCAAAGGCGATAGTTCACAGACACTTGAGTAAAACAATGCTAATAATATATGTTCGCAGAGATCTTACTGCATTGTATTATTTTACCTTAAATGTGCCACACATAGTCCCTGGTTGTCTTATAAAACAACTAGTCATTCTCCAAAAATGGTGGAGTAATCATGGTGTGTTGCAAAGGGAATAACATTCTGCAAGCCAGTTTTGCGTTACCCTTGATCTAGTGTGTAGTTAGAGAATAAAATGAATGTAAAATCTAATTTGCAAAGGTTTTTTTTAACTAGTAATGAGTGTACTAGTGTTACAACAGCTATTCCTCAGAAACTGGCTCACAGAAGTTCCTCATTCCACCAGTATCAGGCCAGTGGAAACACAGACCACCACTAGTGTTTTGAGTTATGTGAACTATTGTTTAGTGGGAATACGTACTGTACATGACCCATGACTAAAGCTCTACTTGAAACATTGCTCTACTTGAAACATTTCTCTCCAAACTAATTCTGATTTATTGTCATTATCAACCGCATTAATCATCGGCTGCATGGCAAACTTGCACGCTTTCTTTGCAAATATTCATGTGTCAGTCCCGCTGACTTCTAATTTTACATGCCTCTGATCACTGTCATGTTGTTCAGTCTGTTGATTCAGATCTTTTATTTCCCCAAATTTCTTTATTTTTTCAGACATAGATAAGTCTGTGTCTGGAACAACAAAGCAGTACATTTTGCCACCAAGTAAATATTGATTTTATGTTCATCAAACACCTGTCTCTTGCATCCTAAGTCTATCAACAAATCTACAGTTTACCTTAATGTCTATACATATAGCAGCAATAAACCAAAAATCGCATTCCACTAAGTGCATATTTGTCACATACTAGTCTTAAAACACATGAGGAGCATCATTGCATATCTTCGCAAAGCAAATTGAAATTGACATGACACATTAGTGATACAAATATCTGCACTGCGTGATGCTTATTGGTGAAGTCTGATATGCAGTAGCCCCCTCTCATCTCAGGGAATATCTGTCAGTTCTGACACCATGGCATGAAAACTGCAAGCAGATCTGTGTAGTGCACCACGCTGAGCTCGCATTAGAGCTGCCGTCATTTTTTTGACCTGCCTGCCCGATTGAATGCGAATCAATTACAAGTGCTGTCGATCTAAATGCATAAACAGAGGCAATAATCTGTTTGAGAAAGTGGTTTGAGAAATGACTGTAATGCTCCTCACTTCCTGACCTGGCTAAATTTAACGGATATGAGCCATACAAACAAAGAGCAGAAGTCAGCATGTTTAGTTTTATTCCAGGAATTAAGGACTCATTCCATTTATCCTGGTTCCACAAAAACAGACAAAATATGTATGGCACTGAATGAGTGTACAGCTAAAGGCTGTCTATTCATTCTGTCTTCATATTTGTTTTCCATTATGGAGAGTCTGCCAATGTATACAATGTATACAATGTGAATTTGATTATTTGAAAAGTTTAGCCATTGGTCATTTCTGTGAATGATACTATAATACTGTGCCATTACATTAGTCAGTGGTGCTTCAGTAGATTCGGTTCAAAGACACTCAAACCTTGAACATGTCTGTGTATTATTTCTCACGTTTACTGTCTGTCTCTTTCTCTCTCTTTTGGCAAAGACAATACAGACTGCTGCACCTGCCCCATGTACATTTATTTCTACATCACGTCAATACAAAGCCGGTGGAAATGTCAGAACTGATAAGGATCAACGGTGTAGGAAAAACACAAATATTGCTCCTGGACAAAACTTAAAAAGAGATCCAATCTATAAATTGTTTGATGTCGTGTCTTTATTCAGTCATTCCACATACTTTATGTACATTATTTGGATTCAGATATCAGTGGAAAAGAAAAAAGGTTCCATATGTAATTTTGTCATAGATAGATTTTGACTTTTTTTTTACAATGAGTATTATGTTTTCTGAATGTCTTTTTAATTGATTTGATCAAGTTTAAAATCAGGGTAATTTCCCGCTTTGATTAAAGTTTTGTTTTGCTAGCGGAGACGTGATTCTGATGATAACCTCCCAAAGTCGAGCAACATGTAGCATCATGAAAAAGACAGTGAGATGGTCATTCCAGTCAATATATTTCCCCTGAGTTTTAAGTTCAGACATGCTTTCTTGATTAGTTGTTTTAACTCTGCTGTCTTGGTTACATTATCATACCTACACATTGGCTGTGTGTTGTCAAATCAGATATTGGGAATGTTCAGTTAGGTAAATAACCATATCTAAGCACTGTGACAAGCGGTTCATTTTATGAACAATATTTCATTGTTTAAAGGCGTAATCAGCATCTGGTTTATGGAGCTGAAATAAGGCTTATTCTGCACTTATTTTCAGCTGATTAATTCTTTCTGTCAATATTATTGTGAAGTGTATTAATACATGTTATCATTGCAGTTCCACTAGGGGTGACGAGGGAACTTCTTAATTCTGTCCACCAATTAAATTTCCTGCTGCCTGCTGTGTCATGTCTACATGTGTCTTTTCAGTTTTAAAGAGTAGAAATAGAAGCAGACTCACTAAAACTCACCTTTCAGCTTGTGGTTAGTGCGTCACACTGAGAAACCGAGAGAGTCATGGGAGCTGGATGAATGGCAGATAACCTAATTTAACAATGAAATGGAAAAAGCACATGAAGACGTTGAAATTGTTTAGTTTAATTTTTTACAGTACTTTGCTTAAATCTTACATCTTGTACATGATGTTTTTACTATATTTTAAACTTTTTTTAAATGGTCAAACCCAAACCATAGTTTTTGCTTGCGTACTGGTTAGTAAGTAATTACTGCTGTGGTGGGATTGGATGAGTGTTGTGTTTCACTTTGTTCCCAGCATTAATGTTCTTTAAACCCTCTCCTTAGAGCAAAACTATAAAACCCTTCCCACAACGTCAAAATAATAGAACTGTTGGTACATGTACCTACATTTAACTCTTGTTATCTCAATAGAACTTGTATGTGTCGCACCAATGTACACATTAATAAAACCTAATACACTGACAGAACAGCTCTGGTAAAGTGTACCTTTATAAACCATAACACACAAGAAGGCCCTTTTTATGTGACTATAGCTGAAGCAATAGGTAAATTAACTGGTTTGTCAGTCAACATAAAATATATCTGCAACTATTAAGATAATTGACTAATTGCTTGCTTCTGCCTTTTTTTTATGTAAAATGCCAAACATTTCCCACTTTCAGATGTGAAGATTTGGTGCTTTCTTTGTCATACAGTATATAATTGTAAAATCACCATCTTTGGGTTTTACACTGCTGTTTGGATAAAACAAGCAATTTGAAGACCGCTTCTGTTTGGATAAATTATAATAAGCGCTTTTCACTACTTCCTGGCAATTAATAGCCAAAACACATTAATCTTATTTTCAGTCCTGCTGTATAACGAAGAAAGGCTATAAAATACACAATAAATTTAGTGTGACAAAAAAATATAAACCCTCCCCTGCTGTTCAGAAAAAGTCAGACTATCCTGCCTTAGCCAAAACAAAAATGACCATCCCTTCTTCTCCCTGAATACTGAACTATTATCTTATCTTTGACCAATGTAAACACATCAGTAACAAAACTCTTTTATAGTGCTCATAAACAGAAATCATACAATACAGTATCAATTCTAAATCTTATAAACCACAAGATTAAACCTGAGCACAGTCCTAGTGCAGTAATTAAAAAATACAGGTTATGGCAGGAGAGAAGAATTGTAAACAAAGTTTGGCACTGCACTGGCAACACTGGGCCTTTTTGTTTCACTGAACAGGAATCCTTAAAGTCCTCTAATCTTTTTCTTGTAGTTCACTTTCAGGAAATACAGGGATTAACAGGGGAAGAGGAATTCTGGCCACAGGTGGATTAAAGTTGTCCCAGAATAGTGATCTCGTGATGTAGACCTTGAACTACAGGTAATCCAAAGTAGACATGCCTGTAATTGGATGCAATTGCGGCTTCCACATGAATTTAAAAAACGGAATTATAAAAAGAAGATGCATACCGTGTTGCACTTCATATAGTTCAGTACCTGTGTTAAACTATGCAAGAAAAAATGTGAAAAGTCAGGTTTATTTATACATCCCCCAAATCAGGGATTTACAACCTGTATTGCACACAAGTCTCTCTATCCACGCATTAAGATTCAGGAAATAAAATGTTGGAAACCTACAGAAGAGCAACTGCTGGGGGATCCCTATTTCAGTATGGCACAAATATGTAGAAATAGAAAAATGTATTTGATATCCTTTATTATGCTGGATTTAGAAACAAAGTAGGGAAAATGCTGCTGTTCTTTATCTATACATTTAATACTACATCTTAAGGTACAGCAAACCTTTCACAAGTAGTGCTGAAATGGTTGTGAAGAGTAAGCTAGTCAATAGGGATTAATAAAGCTCTGCTGCTGTTTGAATTGACTGTACGGTGCACAACCATATGTCTTCAAATCCATTGAAACGCAGAGAAGGCATAGGAACCCTGGGATACATACACCAACCCTGACCTTCCTCAGCAGTGAGAGCTGTGACCTACAAAACTAGTGAGCTTTGATGTTCTGGCCTTGTCCTGAGTAATGAAAGTGGGCAGACAGGATGGGCACAGTGGGCCAAGTCAGAGATTAGGTGGTGTTTTGTTAGCGGTTCTAACACTGGAGCCCAGTGTGCAGCCATGACGCTTGCTATGTTTGCAGAGACACACAGTTGGGTTAGCTTGATAAAGTGGAAGTAAATTGAAAGAGCAACCCAAAGCAGTGTGACTGGGCAAGGACAAAAGGTGAGACGAATGGCTACTATAGTACCAGGACTGAGAGCGATGAGTGTAGAGGGAGAAAATGCAAATCCATTTTAACTAAAGTTACCTCTGGTTATAATACAAGGCATGAAAATCAATACATTCAGCCTTTCCCAGAAACAGAAAAAATAAAAAAAATTAAACATTTCACAACAACAATTGAAGAGTAAAGATAGCGGACGTGACTGTTCGATGGCTTGGCTTTCAAACACGGGTTACCCCATTTCAAAAGTTGGTACGACACTTAATTTCTCTTTTTATTTCTATCCTGTCAGCACAAACTGTTAGACACTTTAGAGCAAAATGTAGTCAACAGTCTGAACATACTAAAACCTAAATAAAATGAGTCACTTGACGGTTGAAATGATGTGTTCCTTTGCATGGCTGGATTACCATCAGATTTACAGGGGCCCCAAATGCCCCTTGTTATGGTGTTGACCTTTGCCTGCCTCCATACTCTATAAGTCAGTGTACTTTTTGACTAACTATCAAAACTATTGAACTGATTGCATTTGGGGCCCTATCCCTCGTGTACTCGACAGATTGTAACAGCATATTCCTAAAAACAAGTTTTAATGAAAACACTTGGTTACACAGGGGCCCGCGGGGCACCCCATAGCTTAATTTTGAAATCAATCAAAATGCTCTCTCCTCTGTTTTTATAAAATAAAATAATAAAATAAAACTTATAGTCCAAAAGCATGAAAAACAGTACATTCAGCCTTTCTTGGGAACAGAAAGAATGAATCGTAGTCCAAACCTTTAAACATAAAAAGAAAACAATTCAAAGAATGAACTTTCAGTCTCTTTCACAAACTTAACTGAAATATTCAAACCCATGTCTTTTATGCCTGCCATCAATAAACCATTATACACCTAACTACAGGTTCGTCCATTATCCCTGAGCTGTGGATCAAACCCACATGAACCCTGTAGAGATTAGGGTTGTGGTTCGAGGTCGCATAACCTGTGTTGAACCATTTAGACCAATGGAAAAATAAGTATGTCCGAGGTCCTTGTTGGGGTCCAAAAAGGACGAAAGAACTGGATGCCTCAGTGCTGGACTTGCTATGCCAACACAGGAAGACCCTGTTTGTCTTGGTGAAAATGGTTTTAGGAGTACATTTTGATGCAGCTCCTCTACAACACAGAAGGACAAGATGAGTAATAAAACAGAAGTCGACAAAGGTTCTAAATCATTTTAGCTCATATGGTGCTTTGGTTTTGAGGATTCCCAAACAAATTTGAGAAACATCAAATTACTGCAAACCAACTGACATACAATAACAAGGGGCCCTATGGGGACCCTGTAGATCTGGTGGTAGTCCAGCCATGCAAACAAACACATGTCATTGAGTGATAAAATTTTAGTGATAGATGTTTACACTGTTGACTACTTTTTGCTCTGCACAGTAGGAAAATATCTAACAGAGTTTGTGCTGACAATACTAAAAAGAGAAACTTAGGGCCGTACTGCCAGTAAATAATATTGAAAGTATTTCTACAACCATCAGCGCAAAAACTGGGGTGGTTCTGGGTAAAACTAATGGCGAAACTTCCTGTGCTAAATTTTAATTATAGATGTTTACACTGTAGACTACTTTTTGCTCTGCAAAGTAGGAAAGTATCTAAATAGTTTGTGCTGACAATACTAAAAAGAGAAACTAATGGCGAAACTTCCTGCGCTGATTTAGCAAATCCAGTACTGAGACGCCCAGTTCTACATCCTTTGCGGAGCACAACAAGGACCTCAAACATACTTATTTTTTTGTATAAATGGTTCAATACAAGTTATGCAACCTCAGACCACAACCCTAATCTCTACAGAGTTTGGTCCACAGCTCAATCTCTGGCTAGCATTGGTTTAGAAGTCCTTAAAGTGCTCAGAATTTACAGGATGGAATGATTCCTGTCCAACAGGAAGCAGCACGTGAAGCTAGGAAAACATGGTTCTGACTCTAGTACTGGCAGCACCGGTTCCCCTCAGGGCTGTGTTCTTTCCCCTCTGCTCTTCTCCCTGTACACCAACAGCTGCACCTCAAGCCACCAGACCGTCAAGCTCCTGAAGTTTGCAGATGACACCACCCTCATTGGGCTCATCTTTGGTGGGGATGAGTCTGCCTACAGGTGGGAGATTGACCATCTGATGTCCTGGTGCAGCAAGAACAATCTGGAGCTCAGTGCTTGTATTACGACCTCAATGGTTGTGGATTCTAGGAAGAGCCCAACCCCACCCACCCCCACCATCCTGTGCGACTCCACAGTCGACACTGGAGAGTCATTCCATTCAGGGATTGGCTGCAATCTTCCAGCTCTCCAGGACCTGTACATTTCCAGGACTCTGAGGTGAGCAGGAAAGATTGTGGCTGATCCCTCCCACCCAGTTTCAGTCATTCCCCGCTGCGGTCAGACAGGACCAAAATGTTGACATGTTACATTGGTACCACACCTGACCCCACACATTCATCAACATACAACTTTGAACTGTGTACACTGGGCGGCTGTGGCTCAGGGGGTAGAGCGGGTTGGCCGTTAATCGGAAGGTCGGCGGTTCGATCCCTGGCTCCGTGTCAAAGTGTCCTTGGGCAAGATACTGAACCCCGATTTGCCCCTGGCGGCTGTTCCGCCAGTGTATGAATGTGTGTGAATGCTACACTACAACGATTGAACAGTAAAGAAA